AAAAAAAAAAAAGACAATAATGATTCTGATTTTCTATCAGCTATAGCACTGTAGACCCAGAGTCTTTCAAAGACCAGATTTGGTTCTGGTTAAACAACATACAGTTACGTGTGCCAAATGCAGTGGTCATGCTTGTGGGAACACACTGTGATCAGTGCAGAGACCTGGAAGAGGTAATGGAGAAGAAGAAAGACATTGATGAGAAGGTTAACATAATGCTGGTAAACAGAAAGATGGTTTTAAAGTACCAGAAGAAAAATCTGGAAGAAAATACAGACCCATTTCTCTACATGGATCAAGTGGATGAGATTGATTCCCTTTTAGACTACAATTTGAAGGTAATGATTGGTACGATTAAAATATACCATTTTAAATGCCACACAGGCCCAGTGGGGTGTTACTGTGGATGCAGAATCTTTTACAGTTTTCCTTTACCTTCCCTTCAGGTGTTGGATCTTCTAACTCTTGACTGCACAAAGACTGAGGATATTGTAAGATTCAGAAGTCATATTTTGAATTGCATTCAATCAGAAAGCGCTTTCCTTTGTTCTGAGACCATCTTACCACAAAGTTATGAAGAAGTGGAACAAGCCATCCAAAACCTTGTTACACTAGAACAGATTCCTCAACATGGTAAGTCCAGTTAATGACTGTGCACTTTATTTAAGTAACACAGAGAAGTTGTTTTTGCTTTGTAATAAAAAGTATCCATTTTCTATGTCAGGTATTATTCTACTTGAAGAACTCTGTGATTTAATAATGAACCATGTAACACAGAGCAGAGAGCACCTCCACTCCATATTGCAATTCCTCTTGCGATATCTGCACAGAATTGGGGTTATTATTTGGTATGAAGATATTGATGTACTAAGTGACCATGTGTTTATCCAGCCTTCATTCCTCATTTCAATGTTCAAGGTCAGTGGCTGTTTTTCTTTTTTCAGACCTATGTATACACACTACTTGAACCCTTTCGAAATACAATGGTTTCCTTTACAAGCATTAATGTGAAGATTCCTGGTAGTGTCGCTTCCACTTTAATTTTAATTCCAAACAAATTACCAATAAATATAATGTATACATGGATCAGAATGCAGTTAGGTTAAGACCAAAAGATAGCACTGGCCATGGTCAAACAAGCAGCTACACTCTTTTGATCCCTTTGCCTGAAGATTTCCACAGAATTTACAAACTACACTAAACTACTGTTACCACAGTTTTAGTCTCCTAACTTACTCTCCTAACTGCTTTCTGTGACTGCAGACCATTGTGAGACATGACCTGGTGCAGCAGCTTGAGAGAATCTCAAGAGACCTACTCATGCAAGAAGGAGCTCTGGTGAAACAAAGGTTCATCTGGGTGGAGGACTTGCGGTGCAGAGGCACCCTGCACAATGCAGCCCTGCGCATCTTAGTCCGGAGGGAGTTAGAGAAACTGGTCATAAATGATGATGATGATTTGGTCAGAGAGGTAGTAGGTAACAAAAGGGAGGAAGGCATAATTCTCACCCTGTTGCAGCACTTTGAGGTTTGCCTCCCAACTCTTGTCAGAAGCCCCATGAACCCCCAAGCACCAGACTTCATCCCAGGAGGAAATCACTGGGAGTCAGTCAGGGAGTCGAAGAGAGACCCTGATGGAGCTTGCCTCTTCCCCATCTATCTGAAGGATGACCTCATAGTATGTCAGAAATGGGGTGAGAACAAGCAGGATGATCTCAGAGTGCATGTGTACGTCCTTCCTGAGGTTCCACATGGCTTCTTTCACAGGTAGCTTGGAAAACATTTAATTGTTTGTCACCTTTTATAACAGGGGTAAGCAACTCCAGGCCTCAAGTGACAGTGTCCTACAGGTTTTAGATGTGTCCTTGATCCCACACAGCTGCTAAATGACCTCCTCAACATGTCTTGAAGTTCTCCAGAGGCCTGGTAATGAACTTATCATTTGATTCAGGTGTTTTGACCCCGCCTACACCCTTTACAATCACAGGTCAAGGATGACCCTTGGTTTGACCACTCGTCCTGATCTGGTGGTCAGGGCAGGGCTAGTGTCCATGGTTGGTGTTGCAATGTCTCTAGATGGCGACAAGGGCTCTGTTTGTTGTTGAGCTGCACTATCAGGCTGGCTTACCAGATTGGGTGCTGGTGCTGCAGGTGCTGGTGATGCCTTAGCGCCTCTCAGGTGCCGTCAGTTACGCCGACGTCTGCCCCTCGCCAGTGCGGATCACAAAAAGCGGGCAGTCTCTGCAGGTCGGATAATGACAGCCGGTTTCCAACTTCCGGACTCATCCTGAAAGCGGTTGTGCTCCCTCTGCGCTGTGATTGTAGTATCGCCTCTAGTGCTCTTCTCTTTCCATCCGTGTTTTTTGCACCACCGTCTGGCTTACAACGCGGGGTACCAACTGGTATACGGTGATGGGAAGCACTAAGCGCAGACGTCGACTTATGAGGACAGCCTGCCATGGTCTCTCAGGAATCTGTTGTGCAATGAGAGGTTCTTTAGGGTTCGCTGCACGCCTCTCCTAAAATATGGAACAGTTTTCCACCGTGGCAGCAATGTCCTTGCTCATGCCTCGCCAGAAGAGGGTGTCCCTCGCTCTCTGCTTAAATGGTAAATGGCCTGCATTTGTATAGCGCTTACTCCTCTCAATCCCCATGTGCCCAGTGTGGATTCTCTCCGGCATATTGCTTCTTAGGGCTGTTGGCACTGTGATTTTGTCACCTTTGAAGATGATGACATAGAAGTGTGAAATTTCATCTCTGAAATTCCAGAAGTCCAAAAGGGTTTGGGGGCATTTTTTCCTGTCCTCAGGCCAGCCATCATGCACGGTTTGCTTCAGAAGGGTGAGCTGCGGGTTGCATGCTGTCGCAGCCTGTATCTCTGAGAGCTTTTGGTCACTTACTGGGAGGCTGTTTATCACTGAGTGGACCTGATCCTCCATGCCTTCGCTCAGCGTGCTGTCTTGGTCGAGCAATGGTTTTCTGGACAGTGTGTCTGCTACAGGTATGTCTTTTCCAGGCCGGTGCACAATCTCTATGTCGTATCTCTGCAGCTGTAACAGCATGTGCTGCAGACGAGCAGGGGCTACGGAGATTGGCTTCTTCAATATGTGCTCCAACAGCTTGTGGTCTGACTCGACAATAACTCTTCTGCCGTACATGTAGGTGTGGAAGCGCTTGCATCCAAACAACACTGCAAAGAGTTATTTTTCAATCTGTGCATAGTTAACCTCTGTCGGGGTCAGTGTCTTTGAAGCATATGCTATTGGATGTCTGTACTGCATCAACACAGCTCCCAAGCCATACTTTGATGCATCTACCTGTAGGCATAGCTTCTTGGTCGTGTCGTAGTATGCCAGTATGGGGCCTGGTTCCCTGGTTATGAGATCCTTTATTTGCTGGAAGACTCTGTCATGATTCTGATCCCAGCTGACGCAGCGGTGCGTTCATTTCTGATAGTCGTGGTGCGAATCTGGACAGGTAGTTCGGCATTCCAAGAATTGTCTCAAGCTCATTCTTAT